GAATTGGTTGATGTGAGAAAAAAACATCTCAGATATAATCCACCAGATCTTGTTCAGATTTCCCCAGTTTTACTCGTACTCATTTGTGTTTGTGTGCATGTCTGTGTATATTTTTAGTTGCATGTAATCTTACCACATGTGTAAATTCATGTATCTACCACCACAATCAAGATACAGAACTGGTCCATCAGCACAAGGAACCTTTATGTTGCCACTTCTGCTCCCAATACTGCCTCCCCTCCTCCTTAATCCCTGTCAACCACTAATCTGTTCTCCATTTAAATGATTTTGTCATTTTACGAATATTACATAAAAATATGTGCAAATCAAATATCTAGTATGGGATTAGTATCCAGAATATATAAAGCACCCTTACAACTCAACAATAAAAAGAAAAATAACCCATTTTTTCTTTTTAATTGAATCATAATTGATTATACATATTTTGGGGATTCAATGTTGACATATGTTGATCAAATCAATATTACTAGTATGTATATTGTTACAAATTGTACTTATTCTTTATGCTCCTGTCCAATCTCTCCCTATCCCCTTCTCCCTCCCGCCTCCCACCACTGATAACCCTAGATTTCTTCTCTCCCTCTGAAAGAGTAATGGTTACTCTGTTGATTTGTTGCCTGGATGATCTGTCCAATGCTCAAAGGTGTGTTCAGGTCCCCCAATATTATCATAGAGCAGATGCTTCTTCTGTCACTCTGGAATGGGCTTTGTGGAGAGAGATATCCTCTTCTTTTCTTTGGTCTCTGCTGGTGACTCTCCTTGTGTCAATGCACTTCAATGGCTGGCAGACCATCTGCATGGTGGTTGTGACGTCTAGCCACTTTAGCGGCAGCTGCGATTACTGTGGTGGGCCACCCACATGGAGGTGATGTTTTTGGCATGCTCGTTGGCACTGGTGGTGTGCCTGGTTGTGGGCAGGGGGGTCCGGTCCCTGGCTCCATACTCCAGGCCCCTGGGCAGGCCATGAGGCGCTGGCAGTGTGCCTGGATGTGGGAGTGGGGTCTGGTCCCTGGCTCTAAGCCTCAGGTCCCCAGGTGGGTCCAAGGCACTGGAAGTGTTTGTGGTTGTGGGTGGGGTATCCAGTCCCCGGCTCAAAGCCCCAGGTCCCCTGGCGGGCCCCGATGCACTGGTGGTGTGCCTAGGCTGGAACTAATTTTTTGTACTTTGCTTACTTCTAAAACAAGGGAACTTCCTGTGGGAACCAGTACTTGAGCTGTGTGGTTGAACTAAATTGCTGCTTTGCTGCTGTTTCCCTAGGGAAGGCTTTTTGTCCAGCTCAGGGCTCAATGGTTGACCTTATAGGTACTTGTGGCTCTCCAGAGTACCGGTGCACTTGGATTGTATAGAAACTCTGATCTAGGGCCGGCCCAGTGGCGCACTGCTACAGTGCGCCGCTTGGGAGTGTGGTGGCGCTCCCGCCGAGGGTTCGGATCCCACATACAGACCGGTTCCCGCTCACTGGCTGAGCAAGGTGTGGGAGCAACACCGAGGGTTGCGATCCCGTTGCCGGTCCCGGTCCGGGTGCGACACTGAGGGTTGCGATCCGTTGCCGGACACGAAAAAAGACAAAAAGGAAAAAAAAAAAAAAAAAAAGAAACTCTGATCTAGGCCTGAGTCTTTTCATCAAACTGCACCCCATGCGACTCTGCATTCCTGACCAGTCTCCTCTGAGTGGTCCTGTGCTTACTGGGGGACAGATTGGTTGTCCTTGCTGTGTCCCAGTGTTCTCCTGGTGGGCCCGTCTCCCCCACCGTCCATGCTCCAAACACTTCCCATGGGACGGACCTGCGCAGGTCCCTTGTGATGATTTACTGGCCTCTGAATGGCTCCCCCGTTTCAGCTGTTCTGGCTCCTCGCTCCTGAGTTGTTCTACGGGAGCCCTATTAGTGGTCTTGCTGTCCTGGGGGCCACCAAGGCCCTCTTCTCTACCACCTGCCTCCAAGCAACTACACCGAAAGGGCACAGATGCAGCTTCTGCCGGCTCCTGTTCCATATGCTCAGCAGTTCCAGCCTTGAAGCGGTCATGGCCCAAAACACTCCGAGCAGTTTTTTCCTTCTCTCATCATGGTTTCTCCTGCCTTCTTGAACTCCGTAGGTCTCTCCTCCTCTTCCCTTGAGCTCCAGCAGCCCCAGCTTGGCTATTGTTACATTTTTATAGTTGTGAATTGGTTGATTTGTGGGAGAGAGTGATGCTAGGGACCATCTATTCTGCCATCTTGACCGGAACCAAAAATAACCCAATTTTTAAAAGGGCAAAGGATTTGAATATACATTTCTCCAAAGAAGTTATACAAATGCCAATAAACACATGAAAAGAGACTTGATATCATTAGCCATTAAGGAAATATAAATCAAAACCACAATGAGATGCCACTACACATCCATTAGGATGGCTATACTACTTAAAAGGACAAATAATAACAAGTGTTGGCAAAAACATAGAGAAAGTAGAACCCTCACACATTGCTGGTGGGAATATAAAATGGTGCACTTTGGAAAACAGTTTGGCAGTTCTTCAAAACATTAAAAATATAATATGACCCTGTGATTCCACTCCTAGGCATATACCTAAGAGAGATGAAAGCATACATCCATTAAATTTGTTAAACAAATGTTCATGACATTATTCATAATAGCAAAAAAGTGGAAAGAACCCAAATATCCATCAACTGATGGAAATGCAATAAACTGATTTGGAATGGCAATAAAAAGAAATGAAATACATGCTATAAAACAGATGAAACTTGAAAACATTATGCTAAGTGAAAGAAGCCAGTCACCGAAGACCACATATTGTATGATTCCATTTATAAGAAATGTGCAGAATAGGCAAACATATAGAGACAAAATAGATTGGACAGAGAGGATGTGGAGTGACTGCTAATGGTACAGGATTTCTTTTTGGGGTGATGACAATGTTCTCAAATTAGATTTTGATGATGGTTGCAAAAATCTGTGGATATACCAAAAACCACTGAACTGTATACTTTAAGTGGGTGAAATGTATGGTATGTAAATTATATTTCAATAAAGCTGTTTTTTTTTTTTTTTAAAAGAGTATTACATAAATGGAATCATAAAATGTATAACCTTTTAGGATTAGCTTTTTTCACTCAGTGTAATTCTCTGGAGACTGATATAGGTTGTTGCACATATCAATACTTCAGTCTCATTCCTTTTTATTGCAGAGTAGTAGCCCATTACAGCAGTCCCCCCTTATCTGCTGTTTCCATTTCCACGGTTTCAGCTACTCAAGGTCAACCACGTTCTGAAAATATTAAATTGAAAATTCCAAAAATAAACAATTCATAAGTTTTAAATCACATTCCATTCTGAGTAGAGTGATGAAATCTCAAGAAGCTAACTGCCTGTTAGTCATTTAATAGCCGTCTTGGTTACTGGATCAAATGTCAAGGTATCACTTCTGTTCAAGTAATCCTTATTTTAATAATTTAAGTGAAAAAGTGAAAGTTATTGACTTAATAAGGAAAGAAAAAAATGATATGCTGAGGTTGCTAAGATCTATGGTAAGAACAAATCTTCCATCCATGAAATTACGAAGAAGAAAAAAGAAATTTGTGCTAGTTTTGCTGTCGCACCTCAAGCTGTAGAATTATCAGCTACAGTGCAGAAGTGCTTAGTTAAGATGGAAAAGGCATTAAATTTGGGGGCAGAAGACATAAATAGAAATGTGTTCTAATTTATGGCAATCAGGTTTGGTACTATCCAAAGTGTTTCAGACATCCACTGGGGGTGTTGGAATGCATCCCCTGTGAATGCGGGGGTACTACTGTACATGAATGTATCACAGTTTAAGTTACTTTCTAATCAGTACTGATAATCAGTATCTTTTAATATATTGACTAAATGACATTTTTTTCTCCTGTGAGTTGTCTTTTCATATCCTTGGCCCCTTTTCCTACCTTCCCCCTTTTTATTAGCCCTTTATTGTAGGTACTACAAATTCTTTTTCCCAACTTAACTTTGCTTAGAATGATTTTCACAATTAAGTTTTTGACTTTAATGTAGTAAAATATTCTTTTACATTTTCTTCTAGTACTCTCATGGTTATATTTTTAATGTTAAAATCTTTAATAAATCTTTAACTTATTTTAGCATAAGGAATTAGAAGTTGAGTTTCTGGATCCACTCGTAGTGTGACAGAGTAGAAAGCCCACTGATCTAGAAATCAGAAGGCTTAGGTTCTAGTCTTTTTTATTTATTTATTTATTTATTTTTTAAAAGATGACCGGTAAGGGGCTCTCAAACCTTGGCTTGGTGTTGTCAGCACCACGCTCAGCCAGTGAGCAAACCGGCCATCCCTATATAGGATCCGAACCCGTGGCCTTGGTGTTATCAGCACCGCACTCTACCGAGTGAGCCACAGGCCGGCCCATAGGTTCTAGTCTTAGCTTTGCCATTATCGAGCTAAATCACTCAGCAGGCTACCTGTCTGTGGAACCTGCCTTTTCTACTTAGGACAATTGCTTTGAGAAACAAGTAAGATTATACACATGAAAGGAATTCTCCAAAAATGTTCAACAGACGCCTACTATTTACAAAGAAAATTTACAGCATTATATATATTTGCATTGATTATAATACTATTCCCATTCCATGTGCCACATACTAGAAAACATATCTTCAGTCTCAGAGAGAAGTAGCTTGCCCTCCCCCAAATCCTGTTTACAAAGAAGTCAAGTGACTTGCCTGGGGTCACAAGAAAAGTCTAGGGAGAGCTGGTTCTAGAAGTGACCCCAATTAGCTATATCCCCCGCAAAGTCAGAGAGCACCATTTTTCTGAGTTAATAGTTGCTAAAAATGAACTGTCAACGCTTGTCTGTATTCATCTCTGTACACTAAAAACAAAACAAAAAAACTACTGTCTGAAAAATGCAGAGCCTATAATTAGGATGTTGTGGGGGTGAGAGGAGAGAGAGTAAAATGAAAGGGCTAGATTTCAAGTTATAAGTTCCCACCTTGCTTCCGACAGCCTGGGATTTTGATAAAGGCTCCATAGTCTGTCACCATAGCAACCTTTAAAGAAAAAAAAATCAATGTTACACAAATGAGAATCTTTCTTTAGTAGCAGTTAACCTAGCCCCCCCGAATTTCTATGTGGTATTGACTGCCTCCGTCTGCTACAAAACTGCCTAAAAGTGATGCTCTGTCAAACATTCTTTCTGTTCTTTTTGAAATTTAGACTGACAAGTATGTGTGTCACATGGTATGACAGTACCAAGGAATGCCCAAATCCAGCACCCATTGAAATCACCAAAGGAGTTTCATAAACAAAAGGAACAAACAGCAAAAAACCATGTAATAAAGTTAAGCTTTATATTAGCTGCAACTAAGGCGTCCAATTCCAATACAGAGATCTTTAAGAATATGGGACACATCGTGTAGGGCATCCTTTTTCTTAAACTTCAAATCAAACCAGGCCATACAACATATCATATTTCACCCCAAATCTGAGTCTTGGGTTTTATCAAGACAATTAGAGAAAAAGCCAATATACCAACATCTGACAGAACCTGAAAAGATATAATCAGAGAGAAAAAGAACTGTCCCCAAGTCTTTTGTAGACTTTACCTAAAATGGAGAAGTTAGAGCCTTGATGGATCTATGTAATAGGAAACCAATCAATGTTAGTGATGAAAATCCCAGAAACCCTGCCAGATAAATCATTAACCCAGGCTCTACCTACCTTCTCTCCCCTCTATCCTCTAGCCCAATCCACCCCCCATCTGTAGGTTGGGATTGATTCTGTCATTACATACTATATTTATCACTAAATTCATTCTTATTTGTATTCAATACAGTCTTATACATATAAACTTTATTCTTTTCAGTGCCTTTAGTTGTTTTATCTTGGGCAATCAATATTTCAGCTTCACCATGACTAAAATAAGGGGACTGAATAAGAAAATCCCCACTGCACTGCTATTCACTGATAAATACTGAACACTCCCTACATGCAAAACACTATTCAAATCCTCATGACACTGTATGAAGTTGGTACTACTATTCCCATTCTACAGACAACAAAATGATGCATGGAGAGATTAAGTAATTAACCCAAGGTCTAAAGCTAGTAAGTAGCAGAGCTGGGATGTGAACCCAGAGAAAATTTAGTCTTAACTACACTAGAGCTGCTCATGGGTTCCTTTTAAGTATAAAATTCTAACAGCCAAATGCAGTGTAACATCTGGTATCCTATCTGCTCCTGGCAACAATCCTAAGAAGTATTCTCATATATGGCAGGTCCTTACATTGCAGACGAGGCAGAGTAGTATAGGTATAGAAAGAGCACAGTCTTTGGACTGACAGATGTGGCTTCTAACCCCAGCTATGCCACTTCCTACCTGTGGGATCGTGAACACAACTTGCCTTTCAGGGCGTAAGTTTCCATTTGTTCTCACTTTGCTGCTGCAGATAACAAATGATGTAAATAAAGTGCCTGGCATTGGTATCTGGCACATAATATACTTTCAGTAAAGTGTAGCTTTTTAAATTTTTTCTTAATTTTTTTTTTGGTGGCTAGTCGGTATGGGGATCTGAACCCATGACCTTGGTATTATAAGGCAAGTGCAGCTTTTTAATAATTAACAGTTTAAGGGCCGGCCTGGTGGCGCACTGGATAAGTGCGCCGCTTGGGAAGCGCTGCGGCGCTCCCGCCTGAGGGTTCGGATCCCACATACAGACCGGTTCCCGCTCACTGGCTGAGCGAGGCGCGGGGGCAGCGCCGAGGGTTGCAATCCCGTTGCCGGTCCCCGGTCCGGTACGGGGGCAACACTGAGGGTTGCAATCCATTGCCGGACACGGAAAAAGACATAAGAAAGACAAAAAAAAAAAAATAATAATAATAATTAACAGTTTAAGATACTGAAGCACAAAAAGATTAGTGACTGGTAGAAAGGCACACAACTAATCTTACATAAAAGCTAGAGACAGAACATGGGTCTCTTGACTCCTAGTCATCAAATATCATTACTCACCTCAATCTTAGGATGGAAATAAACAAAAATTTGCCTTCTCCTCTTTTTTTAAATGGTGATACTGATACACAGCACTTGAACTAATTCTCCAAGACACCACATGAACAATGGTTTACAAACCAAAAGTTCTAAACTCCTGTTTTACACTGACAAACATGCTATGCTGGAGTAGGGACCAGACAGTCCCAAAGTAACAGTACAATCATGCAGACATTTAAAATCAAGGCAAGGCAGAGCCAGAGGAAGAACTTCAGAGACTAACTTTAGAGATTAGCTGGTCCAATCCTGTCATTTTTCTTTTCTTTTTTTTATTGGTTATGAATATTCATGGGGTACATAGCTGACTGTCACCACTCGTGCCCAAGATGTGATGGCCAGATCAATACTAGCAGCATGCCCATTACCACAAATTGTGATTATACTGTGTCCCTCACCCAATTAATCCCTGACCTCCTTCGCCCTCCCCCTTTTTGCCACCCCACTTTGTATCCATAGATATGCTCTGTCCCTCTGCAAGTCCAGTGCACCACTATCGTCTATCTTAATCCTGTCATTTTTCAAATGAAGAAAGTGAAGATGAGAGACATAAGTGCTTATCCAAGTTCATAAAGTAATTTGTTCTCTGTAAAAGAGGGCCACATAGAGAATGAAGTTAGGGCTGAGCCCGTGGCGCACTCGGGAGAGTGCGGCGCTGGGAGCACAGTGGCGCTTCCACTGCAGGTTCGGATCCTGTATGGGAATGACCAATGCGCTCACAGCGCTCACTGGCTGAGCGCGGTGCGGCCGGTCTCAAAAAGGACAAAGAAAAAAAAAAGAGAGAATGAAGTTAAAGTTTTCTTTTTTAAAAAAGATGACCGGTAAGGGGATCTTAACCCTTGACTTGGTGTTGTCAGCACCACGCTCAGCCAGTGAGCGAACCGGCCATCCCTATATGGGATCCGAACCCGTGGCCTTGGTGTTATCAGCACCGCACTCTACCGAGTGAGCCACAGGCCGGCCCTGAAGTTAAAGTTTTCAATTTTTAATTAGAACAAAAGCAAATCCCTTCTTTCTAGACCAGCTGAAGACACTCTGGCTTTTGCTCCAGGATTCTAGAGAGAGGGCTGAAAAGTCTCAAATTGTGTAATAACACTATCAAAGAGCATAACTATCTAACAAACTTAAAAGTAGCAACTGGAAGTTGGATCCCAAATCACCTTGCTGCTGTAAATTAAGACGATCTCACTTTTCAATTGTGAAGCTCCAGTGTCACATTATAGTCTTTAGATGTAATATAACACACATTAATTTGGCCTCTCCCAAAAGGAAAGGTGAATGTGCTCCAGTATTGATGCACTCAACTGTTCAGTTAGGAAAAGGCATTCCTGCCTATTTCCAGCACCAGGTGTTTCCATCACTGTATCTCCTAGGGTGCAGTCAGCGTTGAAATTAACAGGATGACACCTGCTGTAGATGATGACACAGTCTGCCTGGCATCCCAAGAATAATTAGTCCAATAACTCAGGGGAAAAAATTCAGTAATTATCTCAATTTAATTCAGGGCTTAGATAAAATGAATTTTTCTATTTTCAGATTAGAGGTGGCACTGGCCTTGAAATTCGTTATCCCCATAATGCAAATGAGGAATTTGAGGCTCAGAGACAAGTTACTTGTCCAAAGCCACAAAGTTAGAAAGTAGCATGGCCAGGTATAGAACAGAAAGTTTTTGACTTCTAGTACAATGCTGTTTCCACCTTACTAAAACCAATCTCCATAGCATTTCTTTGGCTATGGTAAGGTTGAGCCAAATCCCAATTCCCACTGCTATGCTTGTACTCCCTACCATGCTTACTGAACTCTGGCACCATGATGTTTCTAAGAGGATAAGAGAAGGATGAATACTGGTTTCTCAGCTATTCAATCACTGGGCCCCCCATCCCTGCTGAACCTGCTAAGAGATATGGGCTCTGTACAAGTTTCTTCAAGGACAACCAGTCGTATGAGGCTGCGTTCAATTTCATTCTAACATACTATGTGCAAGACATCATGTCAGGTACTGTGAAATAAAAACAATTTAAAATAAGAAAAGCTCAGTGTGATGGCTAATTTTAGGTGTAAATTTGACTACATTAAAGAATACCCAAAACCTGGTAAAGTATTATTTTTGGGTGTCTGTGAGGGTGTTTCCAGAGATAAGTACTATGAGCCTGAGTGGACTAGGTAGGAAAGACCTGCCCTCAATATATATAGTTGAGCATCATCCAATCTGCTGGGGGCCCACAGAGAACAAAAACAGGAAAAGGCAAATTTCTCACATTGTCCACCGGAGCTGGGATACACTCTTCTCTCCTGTCTGTAGACATCAGAACTTGAGACTCTTAGGCCTTTGGGTTCCAAGACTTATACCAGTGGCACCTCTGGGCTCTCAGGCCTTTGGCCTTGTACTGAAAATTACATCATCAGCTTCCCCAGTTCTGAGGCTTTTGGACTTGGACTGAGCCACAGTACCAGCATCCGATTTGCAGACAATCTATTGTAGGACTTCTCAGCCTTCATAATCACATGAGCCAATTCCCTAATAAATCCCCTCTCATATATTTCTATACATATCCTATTGGTTCTGTCTCCCTGGAGAATCATAATACACCCTGCCTATTTTAAAATGAATTTCACCAAGATATATGAGATAACCAAGGCCTCTACTCTCCAATAACTCACAATCTAGTGAAAGAGACACATGTACAAGTAACACTAATACAAGACAGACTATGCTAAATGCTATGATAGTTATACAAACAAATGACTGTGGAATAACCAGACTTACCACCTACCTTCCTCCTATACTTCAATTCAGTCAAAATAATTTTCTTACGGGTCTTTTGTTTCCTCTATACCTTTATATACAATTGGACAATCCCAGCTGCAACTTAGCAGAAAGTAGACTTGGAAAGGGGACCAGATTTAGAATCCCAGTTTTGCCATTTATTAATCATTGGGTGATTACTTAACTTTTGAGAAGAGTCTCATCATCTATTAAATGGGGTAACAGCTTTGGAGAGACTCAATAACACAGAATGTATAGGAGTGCTAACATACATTAGGCTCACAAAATTTTTTGAATTTTAAATTAACTGGTCTTCTTTGTAAATACAAGGATACTTCAAAAAGTGCATGGAAAGATTCATATTATCTTTATTTATTTATTTATTTTTGGCAGCTGGCTAGTACAGGGATCAAACCCCGGACCTTAGTGTTATCAGTACTACGCTTTAACTAACTGAGCCAACCGGCCAGCTCCCATTTTATCTTTTAATTCTATTTTTCCACAATTTTTTTTTAAGTACCCTTATATTAGGCACTCATTAAATGTTCATTAGATAAATATTCTGAAAAAAAGTTTCTTCTTCTCAATTTATTATTATTATTTTTTTAAAAGATAACCGGTAAGGGGATCTCAACCCTTGGCTTGGCGTTGTCAGCACCACGCTCAGCCAGTGAGCCAACCAGCCATCCCTATATAGGATCCGAACCTGTGGCCTTGGTGTTATCAGCACCGCACTCTCCTGAATGAGCCACGGGCCGGCCCACTTCTTCTCAATTTATTATGAAATTTCTCTTTACCTAATTCCAAGTCACTTCTAAATCATCTTTTTTCAAAATGTGTTCCTGAAATAGCAAATTAGAACTATAAAGTTCTCTCTGAACATCCTTGGCAGTAATTTATAAAACCCACACTAATCTAAGCCCCATCTCATATAAGAAAAAGCTGTAGGTCTGGAGCTAGTTTACTAGAAATCTGAGTTGGTCCATGGAGAGCAGAGTGTTCTTCCCTTTCTTTTGTGCAGCACTAAGAAGTGAGGACTTCACAATAAGAAAAATCAATTTACCTCCAGTGCTACCACCTCCTTTTTCTGAGCTCTGGTACCTCACTAACTTTTGGGGATATCATGGGCTGTAAAGAAAAAGGACAAAGGCTCTCAAGAGCAGAGTCGTTTGCTGTTTGTAAAAATGTTATTATCCTTTGTATCTTTTTAATTTGTTTTTTGTACACTGACTGTTATATTACAAGTTAGGATCAATTTAACAGAATTCAAGAGCCATAATTATCTACAACTGACAGATGATCACAAAGCTATCCTCAAAGACTTCACATTATTAGCAGGTGAAACTTTTATCAACCAGAAGGCAAGTATGAATGCCATAAGAATGACACTACAGGCACTCATAAGATACTTAAAATAATTTTTTGGCTTTACTTTCACTTCAAGAGGAGGGAGACAATATTAATGAATTCCTACTATGTCTCAGGCATTGTGTTTTTATAGATAATAGCTTATTTAACCTTCACAGTAGTCCTACAGAAGTAGTTATTACCTCATCTAACAAATGGAGATAATATTATTTCTCATTTAACAAATGAGAAAACTGAGACAAAGAAATTGACAGTCTCAAGGATCACATAGTTAGTAAGTAAAAGAGCTAGGACTAGAATCCAGGTTGTCTAGTTTGTGTCCCCTTCAAAATTCATGTTGAAGGTTGGCCCATGGCTCACTTGGGAAAGTGTGGTGCCGATAACACCAAGGCCACGGGTTCGGATCCCTATATAGGGATGGCCGGTTAGCTCACTTGGAAGAGCGTGGTGCTGACAACACCAAGTCAAGGGTTAAGATCCCCTTACCGGTCATCTTTAAAAAAAAAAATTCATGTTGAAACTTAAACCTCATTGCAACAGTATTAAGAGGTGGGAGCCCTTAGGAGGTGATTAGGCCATAAGGACTCCACCCTCATGAATGGATTAGTGCTTGAGGGGGTGAGTTTGCCCCTTCCGCTATGTGAGGGCACAGCATTTGTCCCTACTGGAGGATGAAGCAGCAAGGTGCCATCTTAGAAGTAGAGAGCAGCTCCAACCAGACATCGAATCTGCTGGTGCCTTGATCTTAGACTTTCCAGCCTCCAGAACTGTAGGAAATAAATTTCTGTTCTTTATAAATTACCCAATCTCAGGTATTTTTTTATAGTAACACAAATAAACTAAGACAAATAGCATGTGAAAAATCTTGAAGAGAAAGTAAGCTTAGAACTTTCAGAGCTGTAAGGAAGCCAGTGTGGCTGGAATATGAGCAGGGTAGAACAAAACAACACTGTATGAGTAGGCAAGGCCAAGTCATGGAAGGACCATGAAAATGAGTTTGTATTCTAGTATAATGAGAAGCCTCTGAAGAACTATGAAAAAGCAGCATGTCTGATGTGTTTTAAAAATGTTATTTTGGCTGCAATGTGAAAAACACATTGGAGAGGGGCTACAAGAGAAGTAGGGATCCCTGTGAGTGCCAGGCAAGAGATGGAAAGCTTGAACTAACAGGGTGCTAAGGGGATAGAGAAGTATACAGACCAAAGATATAATTAGGACTTGTGGATGAACTGAAGCGGGAGGGAAAATCAAGATCAAATCAAGAAGATAAATAAAGGATGATGCCCAAATTTTAGCCTGGGTACCTGAATGGATAGTTTCCACTTGCTGAGACGGAAAAGACCAGAAAAGAAAAAAATTTGGTGAGAAAATTAAATATTCAGTTTTAAACATAAATTAGAGATGTTGTAAGGGATCCAAATGAACATGTCAGGTATATAGTTAGATGTCTGGAGCTTATAGGTACATGTGGTAGCCAGATACTACACTAGCCCTTCCCATTTAAACCATAATGCTTAAGATAATCTCAAATGTACAGAAGCATCAAACCCAGCTCCTTTTCATCCTCAACCTATTCTTAACATAAATGGTAGATTTTCAAAGCACAAAACAATATACCTCTCCTTGGAAAATAGTGTAGAGAGCAGGCAAGTTTTCCATGGTCTCAGGCCTTCCTGAATTCATCCTTAATGTTCTATGGCTCCTCCATTTCTCTTCTGCTAAAGCTAATTCAAGTGTCCTGTCACAAAGAAATAAGACAGACAACAATCAGAGACATGCATATGTAGACAGTCCACAACTAGTCTCTAAGGAATAGCACCAATTAGATTTAACACTGAATACTTTCATCCAAATCTCTTTTGTCTGTTCTAATTGAGGGGAGTTTTAGAAACCTTGATCTTACTTCTTTTCAATTTGTTACTCATCCAGCGCCATCAGGCTACTGGTTTTGTTGTTTGTGTGGTTTGTTTTGTTTGTTTTTTGGCAACTAGCCAGTAAGGTGTTTTTCTGTTTGTATGTTGGTTTATTATTGCTATTGTTGCTATTTTTTTTTGCCAGAGGAAAGATTGTGGGGAGGGAGTGTGTGACTAGATCTCAAAAAAAAAGGAACAATGGGAATAAGAGCTAATATTTATCACAACTTACTATGTCCAGACACTGTGCTGAGCACTAGGCATGCAATGTCTCATTTAATCCTCAAAACTCTCAAGATATAAGTTCTATTATTATCATATGACAAAGATGAGAAAACCAAGGCTTCCAGAAGTCAAATGACTAAGCCTATGTCAAAAAGCCAGCAAATGATAGAGTCAAACTCTGGCTGACCCCAGAGTCCATGCTCTTAACCACTATGCTAGGCATTAAAAATTATGTTAAGTGAAATAAGCCAGACAAAGAAAAAGAAATACCACATGTTCTCATTCATAACTGGCCATTAGAAAGGAAGGGAGGGGTGAAAGGAGAGAGGGAGGGAGGAGGGAATGAGGGAAGGAAGTAATGAAGGAAAGAAAGAAAAGATCACAACAATATGCTGAACTTTCAGAAGGAGAGAACAAATCTAAGGATACTGGAGATGGCGGGGGAGGGACGGAGGTGGTTTGGAAAGTGATAGGTCGGGTAAAGGGCATAAAGAAATATCACGATTTGTAAGAATGAATATGCTAATAATAAATTTAAAAATTTAATTAAAAAAAATCTGAAGTGACGTCATTAAAGCGTAGCCTTGTTACACCAAGGTCACGGGTTCAGCTCCCCACACCAGCCAACTGCCAAAAAAAAAAAAAAAAAACCCAAAAAATAAATCCAAAGTGACTTCAAACCAATAAATAAATCCAAAGTGACTTCAAAAAGAGAGAGAAGAGCTTACTTCTTGTTCCTGATAAAATTAAAACACACACGCTCATTTTAAAAGTTTAGATAATACATTAGTAATGAAGAATATAAAAGCATCCATAATTTGGTTTATATTCTTTCAGACTTTTTATATGTAGAAGCAGTTTTTTTTTTAACAGAATCATGAAATCATTAATCATTAACAGCCATTTTCTTACTTAATATAGCAACTCATACACCCATATCTTTTTTTAATGTCCACTCAATAACCCACTGTTGACGTACCAAATTTATTTAACTATTTATGAATTGTGTTAAAATGCAGATTGCAATTCAGTAGGTCTAAGGTGGTGTCTAAGATTGTGCATTTTCAACAAGCTCCCAGGTGATGCAGATGCTGCCTCAGTAGCAAGACTTAGAGATTTGGAGTTGGAAGGTACCTTAGAGATACTTTTGCTCAGCCTCCCAGTTTTGTTTTTTTTTTTCCTTTTTGTCTTTTTTTTCCCCATGACTGGTAACGGGATCGCAACCCTCGGTGTTGTGCCCGCACCGCACCAGTGAGCGGACCAGTCTCTATATGGGATCCGAACCCTCGGCGGGAGCGCCGCCATGCTCCCAAGCGCCGCACTCTACCGAGTGTGCCACCGGGCCAGCCCAGCCTCCCAGTTTTAAACAGGGAGAAAACCAGCAATCTAATGGCTCTTAAGCATGCCTCTCTAGTCTGCTGGATACATCACTGCTACATACATCACTGCTAGATAAAGATAAATCTAATGGCACTGTCCTCAGTTCTCTTTTTCTTCCCAATTACACCTGTCACCAGCAAGACCTGCAACTATTTTCCTTGGATTTTCATAGGCAAATACTTTCTTTTCTCTTCAACCCCCAATTTTCCCTCTCACTTTCACATGATTTCATGTACTGCTTTTGGAAAGTCTTCCTGATTTACAATGATCGTCCATTAAACAGACAGCCTCACTTGAAACAGAACTGAAAGCAAATCTTGTCAGACTGCCAAACCCTGGTTCTAGTATCATCTCAAGGCCCGGGAATGTCCCTATCCTCAAGTTACATAACTCTAGGCTGGCCAGTTAGCTCAGCTGGTTAGAGCACAGACTTAAAACACATAAAATAACCTTGTATCCTCATAATAAACCTAGCCTTTTCTGCATAGGTCAGCCAGAGATGGTTTTTTATTGCTTTCCTAAAAGCACACGGAGAGAATGAAGGCAGATTTGTCAGTTCTTAGAAATGATTCATAAACAGGTTAGTTCCAAGTTCTACAGCCTGGTTGAATTCTGCCTCTTCCATTTCCCAGCTATGCAGTCTCATCTCTAGCTCCTCCCTTCCCTCTGCCCAGCATCCCTTACCTCACATGCTAGAACAGGGGTTATCAACCTGAGGTCAATGGTTCTATGGAGACACCTTTATTATACCTCCAACACTTGGAACATAAGTGAAGTACAGAATCCACAGAGGCACCAGCAACTGGGATATCCAAATTGAGCTCAAACACCTTAGTCTATCATCTATTTCTCTCTACACAAAGGTCATGGAAAAAATAGTAAAAGCAGAAATGAACTTAAGTTGTTCCTCATAGACTTCTGCTGTGATAAGGGTATAAAAAGCTAAGTTTAAAGTGAGATACCCTACACAATTCTTCAAGAAGGAAACTGGCATCCATTTTCTGAAGAAAAGCCTGAAATATAACAGTAACAGGTTTATAATTTCAGGAAAGTAGATGGCTGACATTTTTAAAAAATGGGATGTAAAATTTTTTCCAATTATATTCTATAGAGACCTAGGGTTCTATGGTGGTTATTCAGAGGCTCCACAGTTAATTCAAGTTTATTTTAAAAAGTTAACTCTGAAAGATCTAAATCACCACAGGGTTCAAGAAAACTAAACCAACCAACTGGAAGTAAGCCTCCATACTAAAGTTGGGGGAGAAGAGCCCCTAAAGAAACCAGAATTGGGAGAAGTCCCACTCAGAGCAGTTCGGAGAGTAGGAATCTCTCCTCGGTAATGAGGCAGAGGTCAATTACTGCTGATTCCCACTTACCCTCCCAGCCTTGGGGTGGGCCATGTTGGCAAGGGACGGGGAGTGGGAATTACTGGAGGGACGCCTAATGTAACAGCATATTCTACTTTGATCCAGTCTACCTATTAACCTTCGTGTAAGAACTCATTTGGAAAATAAGAGTTCTGTTGTTTTTTTAAAAGTTTATAAAACATTGAGATTGATATAGTCTAGTCAGACAGAACCACATTCATAAACTTAAAAGAGCAAATAAACTGACAGGGATTGAGGTACATCATTTGGCGTTGCCTTGCCATAGTTCTGGAAGCAGAAGTCAGGGCTTCATTTCACTTGAATGTTTTAAATAATTGTACTATGTAAGGAAGCAATAGGGGCCCAGTGACCAGCCACCCTCTTCCCAAAACAAAGCACAGAGCAAGAAAATGTGGGGTGGAAGTGGCAGGGAGTGGTGGCTGAGGGGAAGAGGCACGCAGTAGGGGAAATGGTGGCCCAAAGAATGAGGTCAGAGTCTATGTTGGGTAAGGAGGGAGTCTGCAAAACCAGCAATGAGGAGCAAACTCAGTGTGGGAAACAGCAGGGTAATGAGAGCATCCACTCACTGAGTAGCCCAGAATGGCAAGTCAGAGACCAAGCATGGAGAGGTGGGGCCTGAGGATCAGAGAAGTAATGAAATGTTAACTTAATGATTTTTGTAGTTATCCCGTGACTATGTAAGAGAATGTCCTTGTTTGTAGGAAAACTAAAGTATTCAGGGGTGATGGGGTATCAGAATAGCAACTTAACTCAAATGATTCAGAAGAAAATGTTATTTGTACTGTACCTCCATAACTTTGTGATTGTTTGAAAGTTTTTTTCTTTTAAAAAGATGACCGGTAAGGGGATCTTAACCCTTGACTTGGTGTTGTCAGCACCATGCTCACCCAGTGAGCTAACCAGCCAACCCTATATGGGATCCGAACCCATGGCCTTAGTGTTATCAGCACCACACTCTCCTGACTGAGCCACGGGCCCAATTTAAAAAAACAAAAAACACATCGTGTCCTCCCATCCCCCAAGCAATGAGAAGTTTAAAGAACATTAAATTGGTGACATATTTTATAGCCTCTTTGGAACTTCATTTCATGTGTCACCTTACTGATCTAGTCGAGATTTTTGTTGTTATTGTTTTTAAGTTTGTTTGGATTTAGATTTTGTTACTTAACAGTACTAACTGACTAGAACCCTAGGGAGTTAACATAATTTTAATTTATCTTAAATCTGTTAGAACCGAGAGAAAAGTCAGCTAATTAAAAATGCTGGGATATGAACAAAGACAGAATAACGACTCCAGAGCCTGCATTCTAAACCACTATACTACAATGTCTCAAAAAAGAGTTGACAGTCCCCACCTAAATTTTGTAGAGTAAGTCCTAACATTAGAAGAATCAATGAAGATTAATCAGAAGGATATCATTCATGCAAGAGACTAGGATGAGCAATGTCTGGATCCATTCATTCAAACATGAAACCAAGGGCCATTACTTTTTTTAAAAAAATTATTTTATTTATTGAATCAAAATTGATTATACATATTTTTGGGGTTCAACATTGAGATATGTTGATCAAATCAATATTACTAGCATATATATTGTTACAAATCATAATTATTCTTTATGCCCCTTGTCCAATCTCTCCCCATCCCCATCCCCCCCCCATTACCCTATATTTCTTCTCTCTTTCTGAAAGAATAATGGTTACTCTGTTGACTTGTTGCCTAGATGATCTGTCCAATGCTCAAAGGTGTGATCAGGTCCCCCAATATTATCATAGAGCAGATGCTTCTTCTGTTACTCTGAAATGGGCTTTGTGGAGAGAGACATCCTCTT